TAGAGTGATTATACACGCCCGTGTAAAGGAGTGAACCAATCACAAGATGAATACTAAATCAATCACCGGAGAGAATACCAAAGGGCAAGAGACAACCAATTTTTCTCACGAGATCATCACGTGCTTGTTTGAAGACGCTAGTCCCGTTATTGTCGACCGAAGACTTGGTGGTTCGGCGGCTAATAGGTGTTGCACGAACCTCGTCCACACAATTGGACACATGAGAACCTACCCACAAGTGAAGTAACTCAATGACACGAGCAATCCACTAGAGTTACCTTTCGGTGCTCCACAAGGAAGGCACAAGACCCTCACAATCACCACGATCGGGCCGGAGACAATCACCAACCTCCGCTCAACGATCCTCGTTGCTCAAGCAGCCGTCTAGGTGGCGGCAACCACCAAGAGTAACAATTGAATCCCACTGGTTGAAACACGAACACCAAGTGCCTCTAAATGCAATCACTCAAGCAATACACTTGGATTCTCTCCTAATCTCACAAAGATGATAAATCAATGATGGAGATAAGTGGGAGGGCTTTGGCTAAGCTCACAAGGTTGTTATATCAATGTAAATGGCCAAGAGAGCTTGAGCCCGGCCATAGGGCTTAAATAGAAGCCTCCCACGAAATAGAGCCGTTGGTTCCTCAGGTCCAATCGAAAAATGGGACGACCAAGAATGCTCCGGTCCAGATTGATCGGACACGGATCTCAACGTCACGTCATGCGCGATGCACACCACGTGTCCCCTTCTTCAAACAACGATCGCCCGATCTCAACGGTCATCGATCAACATTTAAGTTATGACCGGACCGACGCTGCTTAGAAGTGACCGGATCACGGGACACCGGCGTCCGGTCGTTTCGATAAGCATCGAAACAAAAATCACGATCGGACGCGTCCGGTCATGCCCGACCGGACTCACTCAAAGGTCCGGTCACTCAACGCGTCCCATGCGGCGCATGTCATGTCATCATCGTCATCTTGGCCGGACTCGGGCCTGAGTGTCGGTCATTTCTTATGCCGGCGTCGATCGGAAGACAAAACGGCTGCGCCGCTTCTTTGCGCCACGACCGGACGTGTCGGTCCTACCCGAAACGGCGTCCGATCACTTACAGTGACCTCCGTCTTTTCTATATAGAGCGCCGGTGACACCGTCGGGCTGTTCGCACTCTACGGGCGGACACTCCACCGGTGAAGTTCCTAACCCTTGCTCAAATATGCCAGCCACCAAGTGTATCACCTTGTGCACATGTGTTAGCATATTTTCATAAAATATTTTCAACGGTGTTAGCACTCCACTAGATCCTAAATGCACATACAATGAGTTAGAGCATCTAGTGGCACTTTGATAACCGCATTTCGATACGAGTTTCACCTCTCTTAATAGTACAGTTATCGATCCTAAATGTGATCACACTCGCTAAGTGTCTTGATCACCGAAATAAAATAGCTCCTACAACTTATACATTTGTCTTGAGCCTTTTGTTTTTCTCTTTCTTCTTTTCAAGTCCAAGCACTTGATCATCAGCATGGACTCACCATCATCATGTCATGATCTTCATTTGCTTCACCACTTGGAATGTGCTACCTATCTCATGATCACTTGATAAACTAGGTTAGCACTTAGGGTTTCATAAATTCACCAAAACCAAACTAGAGCTTTCAGTGCTCCCGTGGGCGAGGTCCTCGGCCAGCCCGTGTGAGCTTCCCGGCGTCCTTCCTCGGTGGCACATCCCTGGCGCGGCCCTCCTCCAACCGGCAGCGCCTCCCCGGCCCTCCCCGGCCACTCTCGAGCTCCTAGCAGTCCCCGGCGCGGTGGCCTGCATCTCGGTTCCATCCATGGCAAGAACACATAGGGGACCCATATGTCATCATCTGCAATGATGAATTTAGGGGATTAGTTTTAGATAGTGCTACTGGAGCAAACAACAATATGAGTAGTATGAAAATATGCAGTTACCTAAACAAAAAAAAAAGTATAGGTGTGTTTTAAATAATACTGATGGAGATGCTTTTTGTTTGATGGAGGAACACCAATGGACATGGCGTTGAACTTCTACAGACTTGCATGCAACAAGAACATAACGGTCTGGGATGTGTTGCCCTCAGCATCAGAGCTGGACAAAATTTCTAGAGTACGACAGCAGTGGCAGAGATAGATTGTTGTGGTATGGGGTTCGCAGTAACAGTCACAGAGTTACCAGAGCCGGAAGATCCGCGCCAGACGACAGAGACTTAGGCCTTGTTTAGATTGTAAGTTTTTTTACTCTTTCTTTATCACATTAAATCTTTGGACCTGAGTATTAAATGTAGATAAAAAAATAACTAATTACACAGTTTGATTGTAAATTACGAGACGAATCTTTTAAGCCTAGTTAGACCATGATTGAACAATAATTATCAAATACAAACGAAAGTGCTACAGTGCCAAATACTGATTCCTAACCTAATCTAAACAAGGCCTTAAGCTTTTCAGCACCCTTGGAAGAGGAGCCGAAGCAATTTCGACCATATACAGACGAAGGCCGTGTTTAGTTCGGCAGATTCGGCGCCGACGAAATCCAGCTACAGTGACGTTTTATTTTTATTTGTTAATAATTGTTCAATCGTTGACTAATTATGCTCAAAACGTTCGTCTCGTAATATACAACCAAACTGTGCAATTAGTTTTTGATTTCATCAGGTACTGTAGCTATAGTACCGTTTTGTTTTTACTTGGTAATAATTGTCCAATCGTTGACTAATTAGGCTTAAAACGTTCGTCTCGCAAAATACAACCAAACTGTGCAATTAGTTTTAAATTTCGTCAACATTTATTACTCCATATATATACCGCAAGTTTGATGTGACGGAAAATCTTCTTTTTTCATAGTGTCAAATTCTGAAATTGGGGAACTAAACATGGCCGAAGCTGCTTTTTTTTTTTTTGGCTCTGGTCGAGTGTTCCGACTCCGACACTCCGTCAGCGGAGCTTGCGCGGAGGAGCCCTGTCAAAGGGACTCCACGATGCTATTGAAAGAACTATTTTTTCACACAATACACATTTTTACAACTAGCTAAAGGCTAAAGCCATGTTTTTTGGGCTTTTTATTACACTAGTAGAGATGCTCACAGTGGGTAGGATGAAAGTATAGATTATTGGACAGACCGTGTTTAAAGAAAAATTGCTTAGCTGCCCAGACTAAACATTGAACAATGGTATTTATAAAGACTTGAAGCTTCCTGCATATCATGTTGGACGATCTAGAGTTAATAAGCACGTGTCCGTACATCCGCGCCACCTCTGTCACGCACGTCCACCACTCCTTCTCCCTGGCCCCCTCCTCTCTCCGCGACCGCGAGTCTGGACGTCTGCGCGCCCGCCACTCCTTCAACCTGACCCCCTCATCTCTCTCTCTATACGTGGGCGGGACTCGAGAGCCGGCATGAGGACGAGCATGCCCCGTATGCAGGATCCTAGGTGCGTTGTGCGCCCCGACTACCGGTCCATGGCTAGCCACGCCCCATCCCCCGACGCGCGAGCTATTCCCCCATGACTCTCTACCTCTGGAACATGAAACACTTGTATGAAACATACGTCTAAAGCAGATGAAAATTTTGAAACATACAATTGCAACATGTGTGTGAAACATATGCAACATCCAGATAAAACAACACCAAATTGCAACATGAAAACACATATTGCAACATAAAACCAAAACAATCAAACATTTCGAACATACTCTTGCAACATATGTGTGAAACATGTGCAATATTCAGATAAAAACGCTTGCAACATATATGCAAAACAGATGAAACATTTTGAACAAACGCTTCCTCAAAAACACTTGCAACATCCCGATCTACTTTTGCAACATCCATATGAAACACTTAGCAACATATACATAAAACATATGAAATACTTAAAATATACATTTGCAACATATGGGAGGGGAGACTGGGGCGTTGATTTTGGCCTCAAGGTGGGAGTCGGCATGCGTGGCGCACATGAGCACCACCAAAGACAAAGCCACGCTCATGGGTGCCCTTGGCTCACGGGACAAACTGAGTCTGCGCAGCACCAACAATGATGAGGGCGAGTATACCACGCTGACGATCTTGAGAGGCAGAGCGGCAAGCAAGTAGGCAAGCGACATGTGGGACATGCAGGAGCAAGGAGTGAGAGACATGGGTGGGGCGCGCGATGGGCGGGGAGCTAGGAGCGAACAACACAGGATGGGGCGCGTGTGGGGAGATGGCTGTGGCGGCGAACAAGGAGTGATGTAGACAAACAGCCGCAGGGCGTTGTGAAGGGTGCGATAGACGAGCAAGTAGGGAGATATTTTAGAGAGAGATGTGGGAGACGTACGGTCCTGTTCGTTTCTCTTATAATTCGTCTTTTTTAGCTGGAACAGTATTTTTCTCTCATAAAAAATCAGTCGGAACAGTGTTTTGACTTGTTTTTTCAGCGAAGCGAACGGAGCCGTAGAGAGGATGAGGTGGGCTTGTTGGGCCGATAGTGCGCAGGCCCGAAAGACGGCGTCCAATCAGGCCCGCCCCCGAGCATTACCATAAAACTAATATATTGCTTCCGGCCAAGAAACTAATATACTCCTTCCGGTCAGGAAAATTTTATATACCATCAAACCTTTAAAACTATACAAACATGAATATTTCCAAAAAAAAACAAATTCTTCAGTTTAAGAACGTGTAAGTTGTATATGACGAATTGTATTAAAATACTTGCAAAGTCTCATCATTTTAAGATTGTATTACAGAAGAAATTAGTCAAGATATATATTTAAGACCATGCAAAGTCAAATACAACAAGTAGTTTTTACTATAGGTAGTATTTAACAACAAATGACAACTTTTAGTAGCTCCCAACCATACCAACAAGAATACACTTGGAGCCTTGGAGGATCTCAGTACTGTTCCCTAAAAACTCAGTCAAAATCACAAATGAGCAGTCAACGATTGCAAAGTACTAGGAAATTATGCAGCATCAACATTCAAAATCATCTGAAGGCTCCAATTTCCTCCCTGAAACGTGTGATGAGGCCATCAACGCTCATTGTGGCCAGGTCGGCATTGTCTCTTACCCTAACGCAGACCTGCAATACACAAAGGATCCACGTGAAACAGCAAGTAATCAAATCTATTTTGCGTGGATCAATATATCTGAGGGTGATACTGGTACACAAGTATAGATGGCCAGCGGGCGGCCCGCCCAGACCAGGCCAGTAAAGCACGGCCCGATAAAGGGTCGGGCCCGCACGGCTGCGCCGGAGCCTCTGGGACGTGCCTCACAGAATTGTACATGGCCTGGCCTTGACGCCCAGTACGACACTATGGGCCGTTTTCTGTGTTGGGCCGGCCCGAGAAGCACATCCATTTTTACAGGCCGTGCCAGCCCGAGGCCCACTGAGCGGCCGTGTGGGGAGGCGAGGAGGAGGTGGCCAGGGGGCCGGGGCCGGCGTGAGCTCCGGATCTCGGGGTAGGAGGCTGCGCAGCGGGCGCCCTCCCTCAGCGATGGAGAGGAGGAGATGAAGAGGGGGTGATCGAGATGGAGAGGAGAGAAAACAAGGAAGGGAGGGAGTCGCCGGATCTGCCCGCCTGCGCGCTCCTAGCCGCACGCCGCCGAGGGAGAGTGAGTGAGTGAGGGAGGCGGGGGGGCGGGAGGAGGCGCCAGCAAGCCGAGGCAAGGGTGGGGAGCCGGATCCACGGTGGAGAAGACCCAGTGTGGCTAGATCCACAGCGGAGATCCAGGCCGCCCGCCTTGAGGCGAGGATGGTGAGGAGGGGCAGCGATCGAGGAAGGAGGCAAGCACGAGGCCGAGATGGCGATGGTGCCGCCCGCCAGCATGAGCTTGTCTTGGCACCCGGATTTGCGTCGGGGCGGAGCTCGGGCCGGGCCAGCTCTTCCCGCAATGGCGTCTGCTTCGAGAGGGAGGGAGGCGTCGGCGTCAGCCTCGGCCGTCAGCGCTCTGCGAGGAGAGGAGAGGTCAGCGTGAGGGAAGGGAGGGCGTCCATGGCCCGGCGCTAGGAGTTCGGGGTGAGGCGTGAGGAGAGCCCAGTGGCGTGCCCTTATATATGAGGGGGGAGGCGGGCCGGGACTGCAGAGAGCGCGCGTGGGCGCGTTGGGCCATGGGGAGGGAGGAGGAGGAGGAGGGAGGTCGAGGCGGCTAGCGGGCTGCAGTGCTGAGGCTGGGCCATGCAGTGCTCGGCCCGATGCTGAGGTAAGGCCCAGACCGACCTGCTCCTCCGTCTTGGGACCAGCCCGGGACCGCTAGCTGCCGGGCGGGCCGTGCTTGGTCCGGGCAAAAAAAAAGCAGGGCCTTGGGCCAGGCCGACCAGGCTCGGGTTGCATGGCCAACTATATACACAAGTACACGGTATGTAGAAGAAAAAAAAATGGCACTGAGGTAAAGAGGACTTACATTTCCAGTCTCGGCCTCTTGTGCACCTACGACAAGAATGTAGTTGAATTGGGCTACTTGGGCTTCCCGTACCTGCAAGATTTATTGGGATGGACCACGCTACTTTAATAAACAGCAAAACAAGACAAATGACATGATAGTCTCACAGATTGCCTACATGCAATTCCGTCTTTTGTGATTGAGAACTTTTGTATAAGAAAGGACGAGCAAACAAACATAAGAATAAAAAATTAAAATAAACGATGCAAAAGCCTAAAAGAGCATGGTAACTGGGAAGTACCTTCTTTTGTATTGTCCTGTCACTCACGTCAATATCAACATGGAAACCAGCTTCATGTAGCGTGGCAAGAACCTGGTATCAGAAACAAAAGGATCATCAGAGCAAGCCCCAATTTTGCCTAAAGTGGTAAAATGGAACACATATAACATTAATCCATAAGGATAGTATGGTAAGCTATAAAAGGTAACAGAGCTACATTAAAGGATACATCATACATCTGAACTCATCAACCAACTCAAAGAAAATAAACATTTGTTGTTTGAATTAGAGACAAAAACTAAGCAATTTCACACCGCTAACTGCAAAGAATCATCTAAAATACCACACAACTGGTAAGGACCACAAAGTGGAATATAACTCGACAGAAGTTTTTTTAATGCCAGCCACCTCAGAGAACTATTAAGTCAAGTCAGTTTTTTTTTTTAGATACAAGGACCATTTACCTGTTTTGCATATTCCACTGAACCAGAAGATACCGAGCAAACAATGGTCTGGCGAGGGCTTAGCCATAAGGGCCATTTACCACTGTAATGCTCCAAAAGAATGGCAAACATCCTTTCAACAGAACCTAGGATTGCCCTGTGTATCATCACAGGCCTTTCAATTTTTGCTTCATCCTTAGCAGAATAAGCCAGCTTGAACCGAATGGGCAGCTGAAAATCCAGCTGTAACAGATAATATAAGGTTAGACAAATGGTTATTTTAATTATACAATGATAGAATAACATTCAAGCGAACCTGTAAGGTTGCACATTGAAATTTCCTCTTAAGGGCATCAAACACACCAATATCAATTTTTGGACCGTAGAAAGCACCATCTCCTTCATTAATCTGCATGAAGGCATCTATATAAGTCCTCTGAATGCAAGGCAATGTCATGGCAGAACAATGTTGCAAAATGTATTATGCACTTCCTCATTGAGCAACAGGAATGATTGTCACAAGGACTCAAAATCCTGTGATTTTAGTCAGAGCCGATGCAGGTACATTTAACAATGACAGAATAATTGAGTGAAAGCCCTTTTAACTGCACCAAAAATACTGAATATCGTGTACAAATGCAAATCTAGTCTAGCAATCTAGCATCATAAAGGCATGGGAACATCAAAGGAAAAAGAGCTATCATAGTGTTTGTGGAGGTACCTTCCACGGCTTCCCAAACTCATTCAAGGCTTCTGTCAATTGTTGCTCTGCTTTGCTCCAAGTTTCAATTTCACCTAAATACTTCTCTGGTCTCTGGAAAATGGCATCATGATCAGGTTAGAGTATTAACTAAGGACAATCAAACTGTCACAAGGTTATATCTTTTGAAGCTCAGATAATTCATTAAATCTTAGCATTTTGCCCCAAATATACGAAAATGGAAAGTACCAAGGATGCAAAAGCAATGGCAGTAACAATGTAGCATGTAAACTCTCATTAGTTATTCAAAGAATTGGTCTTTTGGATCACCATAAGACGATATATCAATCCAATAAGGCTGTTTGGAATTAATGAGTCAGGGAGACATGCGGAACATCAAATGCTAGAAGAGAGATTGCGAGATCTTGTCATGAACTTTACCGATTCCAAGTTCAAAAAAAGCAAGAACGTAAACTACATTATCTAAATATATTCCAGTGAGATAATAACAAGAAACTAGCAAACAAATATTATTGTGACTGCCCAGATTTTATAATGATTCTGAAAAATAAGTATGTGATAACATGCCCATATAACTACATAAACATCACAGATTCAGTGGTGATCTTGTGATTCGAGTTCTCAGTGGTTAGCACAAGTATAAGAAAGCAAAAAGGAAAAGGAAACAAGGCATCAGGGAAGGTGTGGGGGTGAGTGTTTTTGGGTCTATGTATGACTCCTTATTCTTCTACTAATACAAATGATACGCAGCTCTCCTGCGTGTTCGAGAAAAAAAAAAAAAAGGAAACAAGGCTGTCCATAGAGGTGATTGTTAAGCAGTTCATCCTGCATACTACAGCTGCAACTAGCAGCCCCCAAAGTGTCATCATTTCATGCCAATTGCTAAGCATAGATTATGGTTCGTATCAGAAATGCCATCAGTATAGAAGATAAAAAGAACAGAAGAATACCGTAGACAACTCCAACTCATATTTGAAGCCAAATATCTCGTAAACATAATTGATGAATTCCAAAACAGCCTTAACCTCATCCTTGATCTGCAACAAAACAAACTATTAAAAAAAGGTAGGAGTACGTATACTATCAGAGAAAAGGAAGAAACAGTAAATATAAATTACAACTTGCTAATGCAAATTAGAATGTATACATGGTGCTGGTGTTAAGCATGTAAAAGTAATTATCATAACAGCATACACTTTATGTAGATTATACAGTGTCCTGATTACTAAGGGAAGTACAACACGATTCATTCTATTCTAGAGGATAGTAAACAAGCATGGTCTACGCAAATAAAACTTGGTCCTCTCTGCAGAAGATATGAGCATCGTCCTGCCAGACATAATAAAACATCAAAACATTAGTATGGAGACAAAAAAAGGACATACCACGTGCGGAGAGCTCTCCCACTGCATGCGGGTGCAGGGAAGGTGTCGATGGCAAGTCTTACTATGGGAAGTGCGACCCGGATACCCACAGCGGAGACTACATGGGCTGCGCCGTCGAGGTGGTCCAGCCCACAAGGCGAAGACTTATGGTGCACGGTGCTGCTTTCGGCGTGTACCGCAAAGACGTCAAGGGCGATATCACGAAGATACTACGAGATCTGTTAGGATATGCTCGATCCCGTTTCTGTGTCTGTTATTACTTACGGTAATTTTCTAGATCTAACCGACTTGTAACCCTACCCCGGCTATATAAAGGCGGGTAGGGACCCCCTCAAAACACACGCAATATCATACGATAGTCAATACAACAGACCACAGGAGTAGGGTATTACGTCGTGCGGACGGCCCGAACCTGTCTAACTCTTGTGTCTCTGTTGCATTCTTGTTCTTGATTACGCGCACCTCTGCCGATCAATCTACCTTCGTGGGATACCTCTCGAAGGATCAGCCGGCGATATTCTCATCGGCCGGTTAGCGCGCCCGAGTAGGGGTGTGCGTCTTTGTTTCCATGACGAAATAAGATGGTACATTTTGCAGGCTTTTCGTCCTCTCCAAAGCCTGGCCAAATCTTTACGGTCGGATCAATCTCTTGGGTCATCAATGCTGACGGAGACGGAGAGATCAATTCTGCGCCAACCACACCAACACCTGCAACGGCAGATCCGATCTCGGAACCGCCTCCGATGTTGTCTTCATCAACAACTTCGCCGCTTTGCTCCCCGCTACCCGAGGAAGCGATCGACAACGACGATCCGATCGCATCCATCGATCGAGGCGGCGAAGCTCATGCCATTGCCTCTCCCTCGCGAAATCGGCTCGACCACTCACAGTTCACGCGCGACCACCCTCCGATTCCGATCTATCGGAGGCTGATCGAAAAACTCCGGGGTTTCGGCCGCCATCCATCAAGATGCCATAAGGAGCAAATTCACCGACTAGGTGGGAAATATCTATCCTCTCGCCCGACCGGATCGCCGACCAGCTCTCGCAATATGTCAATATCTTGCCGTCGGTGGCGTCCGAAGCATCCCTCCACACCATCCTGGAGGAAAATCCGGACTTCAAGTCCTAGGGCTCTCACGGAGATCGTAAATCAAAACCGCCGCCGTCCAACCTCCTTTCCCACCCTTCCGTGGAGGTGGGATTTTTAATGTCAGCATCGACAACCCTCCGCTGGATGGAGAAACCAATGAGGACCGCGCAGCTCATGTCAACAGAAACGCCAACCATGCGCAGCGCCGAGCGAATGAGGCCGCCATTGTGCTAGCCGAGGCTGCTCGCAACGGAGAACAACTCGACTCGCAAGGGAGGCCACGCCCACTCCACCGCAACCTTGACGACGAATTCGTCCGTGTCGATGGCCATGATGTCTACAAGACCCCAAGTGCCAACTTGGTCGTGGCCGCTAATGAGCTCGCTCGGCTCGAGCAAACGCTAGAGGTCGCCAAGCTCGCCACAATGCTTAAAGCTGCGCACTGCCAGATCAATGAGATCCGCCAGGATCAGGGACCCTCCTACTCGACAAGCTCAAATCGTCGATCCACCGTGCCAAGATCCAATCGCCGCCCCGGCAGAAGCCGTTTTGCCGATCAACATCGTGATGATGGACAACCCCTCCAGGAGGGAGCTAGGGGGAACCATATCAACTACCCTCGCCAACACAACCAAAGAAGTCGACCAAGATGTCCGAGCACACATCAACAACCTCCGGGATGCATGGCATCATATCGATGGGCGCCGCTTTCTCTCGACATGAGGAGGAAATTCGGCGGCTTCAAGAATACGAGCAAGAGTTCGGTGTCTGGATGCTGCCCTCCGACCACTTAACGCCGGGCAACTGCCGATCCCGGGAGTGATTTATCTCAAGGGCCCCGAGCATTCACAAGAGCACTCGAACACTCCAGTGGCCCCGTGGTTTTAAAATCACCGAGGTCAAGCCCTACGAGGGCCGGATGAACCCCACACAGTGGCTACAAGCTTATGCCACCACTGTGCGCGCCATCGGGGGAGATACCAGTGTCATGGCAAACTATCTTCCCATCATGCTCACGCCAACCGCAATGAACTGGCTCACGAGCCTCGCCCCGATTCCATCGGATCTTGGGAACAGTTGAAGAAGGTCTTCACCGACAATTACATAGCTACGTGTACTCGGCCGAGCACCAAGCATGATCTGAATCGCATCTATCAGAAACCGTCCAAGCTCCTCCATAGCTACATCATACGTTTTCCCGATATGAGGAATTCTATTCCCAACATCATGGAAGTAGAAGTCATCACTGCCTTTGTCCGAGGACGCCATCACCGTGACCTCCGCTCTAAATTCAATCGTATGCCGCCAAAGGGGATTGGCGAGATGATCACGACCGCTGATCAATACGCCGACGCTGAAGAGGCCAAAGTTCGCTTCAACAAGGATGCGGGCACTCACCGCTCAACTCGCCGCAGCGACGAGCGCCCCAACGAACGACGCCATAGTCACCGCCGCTACGACGACCGTGGTCACCATCGGAACAGTAGCCGCGATCGGTCGGAGGGGTCCAAAGCTGGTCAATATCGCCGCCGCCGACCAGACAACATCGTCGCCGCCGTTGATGAACCTCGCACCAAGCGTAACTACGACAAGCAGTACAAGAAAATCCTTGAAGGCCCGTGCCCCCTCCACAAGAATAGCAAGCACAAGATGAAGGACTGCCTTGGCTTGGCTAAGGAATTCCAGGGCAAAAAGAAGGACGACAACAACAACAACGGAGCCAGAGGTCACCGACTGCCTGGGGACAACAATAACGCCTTCCAGGATCATGACAAAGTGGTCGCCACTATCTTCGGGGGCCTCGCCGCCGCTGAGAGCAGAAGAGATCGAAAACTCACCGCCGCCGGGTGCTCGCCGTCGACACACAAGACGCTATCGCCGACCCTAGCTATCGTCCCTGGTCTGAGGTCCCTATCACCTTCAGTAGTGCTAACCAGTGGGCGGACATCCCTTACACAGGGCATTTCCCCCTCGTTCTCAATGCAACCGTCAAGAAAGTACTCTTTAGGAAAGTACTCGTCGATGACGGAAGCGCCCTGAACCTCCTCTTCGTCGGAGCACTAAAGGAGCTAGGCCTTGGAGTAGAAGACCTTACTCCCTCCGACTCCTCCTTTTGGGGTGTGGTACCTGGTAGGGCGTCATGACCGCTTGGAGAGATCACCCTCTCGATACAATTCGGCACGGCTAGCAAATTCCGCGTCGAGCGCATCAACTTCTACGTCGCCGACTTCAACACCACCTACCACACCATACTAGGTCGGCTAGCTATGGCTAAGTTCATGGCCATACCGCACTACGTCTATCTAGTATTGAAGATGCCTTCACCTGCAGGAGGTCTGGCTCTACGGGCCAACCTCTCCATCGCCTACGCCTGCGAAATAGAGAGTCTCTCCCTCACTGAAGCTACTGACCTCTCCATCTAGATGGCCAGCATGGTCAATGATGCCAAGACGGCGCCCGCCGATGACCTGGAGATCCCAGCGCTAGAGCATCCATGTGCCTCCGATAAGTCCAAGGAAACAAAGGAGGTCGGCCTCGGCCTTGACGACCCCACCAAGACCGTCAAGATTGGGGCTCATCTCAACCCCAAATTGGAAAGCGCTCTCGTCTCCTTCCTATGTGCCAACACCAACATGTTTGCTTGGAAACCTGCAGACATGCCGAGGTACCATGGGAGAAGATTGAGCACTCCTTGAATGTCTCACCGACCACCAAACTAATCAAGTAGAAGGTCCAACGATTCACGCCAGACAAGGAGGCTATTAGGGTACAAATAAAATAGCTCCTAGCAGCCGGATTTATTAAGGAAGTGTATCATCCTGAGTGACTGCAAACCCAGTCCTTGTTCAAAAGAAGAATAAAGAATGGAGAATGTGCGTTGATTACACTGATCTCAACAAACACTGCCCTAAAGACCCCTTCGGTCTGCCTCAGATAGATGAGGTTGTAGACTCCACCGCTGACTACGAACTCCTCTCCTTCCTCGACTGTTACTCCGGCTATCACCAGATATCCCTCAAAGAGGACGACCAGATCAAAACGTCGTTCATCACACCTTCCAGTGCGTATTGCTATGCCATCATGTTCTTCAGACTCAAAAACGCCGAGGCGACCTACCAAAGGGCCATCTAGATGTGCCTTGATCAACAAATAGGCCGCAACGTCGAAGCTTACATCAATGATGTGGTCGTCAAATCCAAAACCACTGATAGTCACATCACCGACCTCGAAGAAACGTTCGCCAACCTGAAAAGATACAGATGGAAGTTGAACCCTTCAAAGTGCATCTTTGGAGTTCCATCCGGCATACCTGGGCTACATCATCAGCGCCCGCGGTATCGAACCCAACCCCGACAAGGTCTTCGCCATTACCAATATGAAATGGCCGACCTACATAAAGGATATACAGAAGCAAATAGGGTGCATGGCTGCTCTCAGCCTCTTTATATCATGCCTCGGTGAAAAGGGACTACCGTTCTTCAAACTACTCAAGGCCTCCGAGCGCTTCTCCTGGTCGGAGGAGGTTGATACGGCTTTCAAGCAGCTCAAGTTGTTTTTAACAAAACCCCCGATCATGACGGTGCCTCAACCAGACAAAACCCTATTGATCTGCATCGCCGCCACTTCTTGCGTCGTTAGCACAGCTATCGTCATCGAGCACGAGGAAGTTGGACACGCCTATAAGGTACAACGTCCGGTATACTTCATCAATGAGGTTCTTAATGAGTCCAAAACTCGTTACCCTCAAGTTCAGAAGCTGTTATACGCCATTCTGGTCATGTCGCGCAAGCTCCGCCATTACTTCAAGTAATACAAGATCGATGTGGTCACCGAGTTCCCTCTAGGGGACATCCTCCGTAACAAAGGGGCTAATGGCCGCATCATCAAGTAGGTAGTAGAGCTCAGCACTTATTCCATAGAATTCAGAAGCAGG